TGACCTAAATACAAAATATTTTCATGGTGTCTGTCTGTCTGTCTGTCCGTCTGTCTGTTTGTCCGTCTGTAACACGATAACTCAAAAACCGCTGAACCGATTTTAACCAAATTTTGCACAAAAATACTGTGGCACCCGAGAATCTGTCCATTAGTTTTAAGTGGGGGGTGGGGGTTGGTAAGGGGGTATAGGAGGGGGTTAAAAATTTTAAAAATCGTAACTCCAAAATTACATCAGTAGCTAGCGAAACGCGGTTTTCAATTTAAGATTAGGAATATTTGCAACAAAATTTGTAATAACATCAAAATCAGTCAAAGTCGCAGTTTTTCAGATAAAAAGAAATATCAAGTATGGGCGGCTATACGTGCCTCCAGGCGCAATTTTTTTTTATTTTCTGTATGTTCTTAAAAAAACATTTTAGGGGTGAGGTCATTTGATATTTTCTTATAATTAAAAATATATGAATACAGTTTTTGAACTAGGAGTATTATAGGTGCGCATCGGCTATTACTCTCCATAACTGAAGCCACTATTCTTGAGAATTGTAGTTACTGCTTTTTAGTTGTTCAGCTGTTCGCAAAGGTGAGTTTCTCGACTTCAGTCTATTCACCTGTAAAGCAGGAAGTGTTTCATGAACAGGGAGCGTTGGGGTAGCTATTATTTTATCAAATTCTCTAAGAAGAGCCTCGTTTCTGCCTAGATTTGGAGGTAGGATGTTACTCGATCAGAACTAGTAATTATGTTTGGTCTGATTGCCCCTGTAATCATCCGCATGGTGTTGTTCAGCTGTCGTCTATGAGATTTGTGTGGTGGCTGTTCAACCACACGGGGACATGGGTGCACAATACTCTGCCACACTGAATACCAGACCAAGGGCGGAGATCTGAAGTGTTGTTGCTGTTGCACACCAAGAATAAGTACCACAAAGTTTTTGTATAATGTTTCGTGTTCTGATTTTACCAGCAACATTTTCTAGGTGTTTTCGAAATGAGAGTGTACAGTCTGTACTGTCTAGAGTAATCCCCAGATATTTTGGATATTTGTTATTACGCAGAGTGGTGTTACCAAACTGGACGCTTATTTCAGTATTCGCCAGCTTGATGAGATGGAAGGTAGCCACTTTTCTGTTTTATTTGCACTGGATTGAAGTCTCCATTTTATAAAATAGGCATTCAAGGATGCGCGAGATCCTCTGTCAGCATTTCTTGGGTTTGATATACCGTTTCATGTTCAGTTGCTATGGCTATATCGTCTGCGTAACAAAATTTTCTATATTGCGTATCTGGTAGATCAGAAATATATAAGTTGAATAAGAGAGGGGCGAGACCGGAGTCTTGTGGTAAGCCGTTGTTAAGTTTTTAGGTTTACTTGTGCTCTCTCCCAGAAATACTTGGATATATCGCATACAAGTCAAGAATACTGGATTAGGATATCGAATGGGAATGCATAAAGTAAAAATATTATGCTATGCCGATTACGCAGTAGTTATTGCAGAGTCAGAGGACGACCTCCAAAGAATGCTACAAGCTTTTAACAGACAGGCAGAAAAACTTAACATGCAAAAATTTCCACAAATAAGGCCAAATGCATGACCATTACAAAGGAGCCTCTACGGTGCAAATTGGTAATAAAAAACAAAACTATTGATCAGATAATGTCATTCGAATACCTCGAATGCAAAATTACAAGCTCAGGATTCTTGGAAGAAGAATAAGGGAGGGAAACAAGCCAATAAAGCTGCCGCAATATCAGGACATCTTAAATATCCCATATGGAAAAACAAACATTTGAGTACAGCATGTAAGTCAAGAATATACAAAACCTGCATACGACCAGTGATGACATATGGTGCGGAAACCAGAGCTGAAACATCAGTAACAAACAGAATCCTACAACTACTGAAATGAAGACCTTAAGAATGATAACTGGATACACATTGAGGGACAGACAGAGAAATGTAGGCATAAGAGAAAAGTGCCAAACAAACGACGTTGTCAGATGGATAAGGCAGAGAAGAAGAGAATGGAACCAGCATGTCAATAGAATGGGCCCCGACAGAATGGCCATAATAATTCGCAACAACGTACCTCATGGTAGAAGACCTACTGGACGACCACCTAAACGTTGGCAGTCAACCTCGCAAGAGTTGCTTAGACAAGGAGGAAACCGGAACCAAACAGGCGATACGCCTTCTAAAAGAAGAAGAAGAAGAAGAAGAAAGTTTTTGTATAATGTTGTTTCGTGTTCTGATTTTACCAGCAACATTTTCTAGGTGTTTTCGAAATGAGAGTGTACTGTCTAGAGCAATCCCCAGATATTTTGGATATTTGTTATTACGCAGAGTGGTGTTACCAAACTGGACGCTTATTTCAGTATTCGCCAGCTTGTTATTAAGATGGAAGGTAGCCACTTTTCTGTTTTATTTGCACTGGATTGAAGTCTCCATTTTATAAAATAGGCATTCAAGGATGCGCGAGATCCTCTGTCAGCGTTTCTTGGGTTTGATATAGCGTTTCATGTTCAGTTGCTATGGCTATATCGTCTGCGTAACAAAATTTTCTATAATGCGTATCTGGTAGGTCAGAAATTTATAAGTTGAATAAGAGAGGGGTGAGACCGGAGTCTTGTGGTAAGCCGTTGTTAAGTTTTTAGGTTTACTTGTGCTCTCTCCCAGAAATACTTGGATATATCGCATACAAGTCAAGAATACTGGATTAGAATATCGAATGGGAATGCATAAAGTAAACATATTATGCTATGCCGATGACGCAGTACTTATTGCAGAGTCAGAGGACGACCTCCAAAGAATGCTACAAGCTTTTAACAGACAGGCAGAAAAACTTAACATGCAAATTTCCACAAATAAGACCAAATGCACGACCATTACAAAGGAGCCTCTACGGTGCAAATTGGTAATAAAAAACAAAACTATTGATCAGATAATGTCATTCAAATACCTCGGATGCAAAATTACAAGCTCAGGATTCCTGGAAGAAGAAGTAAGGAAACAAGCCAATAAAGCTGCCGCAATATCCGGACATCTTAAATATCCCATATAGAAAAACAAACATTTGAGTACAGAATGTAAGTCAAGAATATACAAAACCTGCATACGACCAGTGATGACATATGGTGCGGAAACCAGAGCTGAAACATCAGTAACAAACAGAATCCTACAACTACTGAAATGAAGACCTTAAGAATGATAACTGGATACACATTGAGGGACAGACAGAGAAATGTAGGCATAAGAGAAAAGTGCCAAACAAACGACGTTGTCAGATGGATAAGGCAGAGAAGAAGAGAATGGAACCAGCATGTCAATAGAATGGGCCCCGACAGAATGGCCATAATAATTCGCAACAACGTACCTCATGGTAGAAGACCTACTGGACGACCACCTAAACGTTGGCAGTCAACCTCGCAAGAGTTGCTTAGACAAGGAGGAAACCGGAACCAAACAGGCGATACGCCTTCTAAAAGAAGAAGAAGAAGAAGAAGAAAGTTTTTGTATAATGTTGTTTCGTGTTCTGATTTTACCAGCAACATTTTCTAGGTGTTTTCGAAATGAGAGTGTACTGTCTAGAGCAATCCCCAGATATTTTGGATATTTGTTATTACGCAGAGTGGTGTTACCAAACTGGACGCTTATTTCAGTATTCGCCAGCTTGTTATTAAGATGGAAGGTAGCCACTTTTCTGTTTTATTTGCACTGGATTGAAGTCTCCATTTTATAAAATAGGCATTCAAGGATGCGCGAGATCCTCTGTCAGCGTTTCTTGGGTTTGATATAGCGATTCAGTTCAGTTGCTATGGCTATATCGTCTGCATAACAAAATTTTCTATATTGCGTATCTGGTAGGTCAGAAATATATAAGTTGAATAAGAGAGGGGCGAGAACGGAGTCTTGTGGTAAGCCGTTGTTAAGTTTTTAGGTTTACTTGTGGTCTCTCCCAGAAATACTTGGATATATCGGTTACTTAGCATGTTGTTGATAACTCGAGCTATACTTTGACAAATAAGTGCTTTAAGTAATTTATAAACCATACCATCTCTCCAGACTATGTCGTAAGAGGCTGTTAAATCGACAAAAGCTATGGAGGTTTTAAGCTTAAAGGTTGATTCTCACTATTATACCTTCCATATCAGCTCCTTTCTGTTTCCCTTCCGTTTACATAAAAAAATATTGTATCATGTAAATGCATAGAACAATGCACACTATCCGTTCCGTTTCCCTTCCGTTCCATATCCTTTCCTTCCATACATTTTTTTGGCGGACGGACTGAAGCGTATCGGAAACAGCGTTGTCAAGTTCTTACATTTGTACTAGCTCTGTTAAAATTTTGCTGATATTTATTTATTCTTTTACCTCCTAATTAAATCTATTACCTTTTTCAAAAGATACAAATTTTTAAAATAAAACTTTCGTAATGATATAAATTGTACAATAAAAAGTATGGAACTGATACGGAACGGAAGCTTACGTATAGCGTCAATAAAATAGAAATACGGAACGGATATGGAATGGAAACGGAAGGTATAGTGAGAATTAACTTTTAGTAGGAAATTTCCTTCAATCTGAGATGTAACTGATAGGACTTGATCACAGCAACTGCGTTTAGGAATGAAACCTGCCTGTTCAACTGGAATATGGTCTAAGATACTATCCATTATTCTATTGAAAATAAGTCGTTCTAGGAGCTTATAAGTACAACTAAGAAGGGCTATGGGTCGATAATTCTGAGGTTGCGGACATATATAATAATATACCATAATACAATAAAATTATGAACACACTTTATAGTCATCCCTACCTTGCAAAATCTGTCTGATGAGTGAGGGAAAATTTCGACAGACATCCAAAATGACATAAATTACACTTTATCTGTGAATTAAAATGACAGACAATAAAACTGTCATTGTACAGACTTTATACATATAACATATAAAAAATATCTACTTTATTGAGCTGATAAAGAAATAAAAAACTGATTTAAAACAATTTTTGTTTAATAATAGATCTCATTATATAAAAAGCTTCCAAGCAATAAACTATTAGTGATGTTAAAAAATAGTTTTATTGCTTATAATAATTTAGTTCCTACACAAATAGAGGATGAGTACACTTATTCATTAATGTAACAAAAATCAAACTTTCTTAACAATTTGAACAACATCTTCATCCGATAAAATATGATCCAGACCGACTTTTTGTGGCTGATGTTTGACAGATGATCCCCACACCAAAGCACTAAAAAGAAAAACCAATTAATATGGTATTTACTTACTAGATTATATTTTATGTAAATTGTTTTAACCAACCACCATTTCTTTTATACAGGGTCCGGCAATAAAAAAATATATTAAAAATAGAAGAACTATCCTGAAACAAAACTATATTAGATATTTACTTTAGATGGTCTGTACAGGGTGGGTCAAATTCGACGCTTTTAAATGGAAACACCCTTTTCTATAGGAGATAGATAAAAACTAATATCGATGTCTGGAGCTCAATTTTTGTCAAAAACATGATGGTGAAAACCGCATATCGATAGCTGTTACCGTTTCGGAGTTACGGGGTGTTTTTCAAAAATATGCATTTTTAACAAATCGCTGTAACTTTTTTGCTACGGAAAATTTTGTATTTTTAAGAAGACATTTCCAAAGCACCTTTTTACGTAGAATGGTTTATGCATATTTTTTTTAAATTAATAATTTAAGGATTATCAACAGAAAATTTGATTTTTTATATGGGACACCCTGTATATTTTTAATTTATTGAAAATACTTTAAAATTACCTTTCTAAAAATATAACACACTTGATTTTGCTACAGGTGTTCGACATATCAACCATCTTCTGTTATGGACAGACGGGGCAGTTTTTGAACATTTCTCGCGGAATTCATTAACTCAGTAGGTGTGAAAGGTACCCTCTCATAACTGCTAAGTATTTCTAATTCTTGTCTAGATTATACGGAAGAATAAGGAACCTTTATTCTTCCGCAAATATATCCATAGGATTAGGTCCATGGGCACTAAGCCAGGCGGCCTCGACGGCCAACGGCTGCGGTCTTGGTTAGCTATTCAATAATTATTCTTGAAATTGGCTGCAAAAATTTGCTGATAACTTCACCGTTCAGAGGCGGTGCGTCGTCTTGCTGGAAAAATATGTTTTCTAGTTTCATTAAGGGCATATCATCAATAAGGGGTCCAAAGTCCAAAGCCTACTAGTTAAAAGTGGCGAACTTTTAAAAATTCTGTATTTCGAAGGGGATTATAACAAAATATCAAGTGTGCTATATTTTTGGAAAGGTAATTTTAAATTCTTTTCAGTTAATTAAAAATATAGAGAGTGTCCCAAATAAAAAATCAATTTTTCTGTTGATAACTCTTAAATTATTAATTTTAAAAAAATTATACTTATAGAAACCTATAGAAAAGGGTGTTTCCATTTAAAAGTGTCGAATTTGACCCACCCTGTACTTACTTTGCTATAAATATGGTAAACGTAAATCATACAGGATATTCAAAATTCTATGCCAAACTTTCTAAAATATAAGATGTCTTCGGTTTTTTTTAAATGGAACACCCAGTATATATTTTTTTTAATAGATGTAGAATTAAAAAATGAACATTTTTTGTATTTATTTTTAATTTTAGAGAAAAAAATAATCCTGATCCACTCACACTTTTTGAGCCACCCTATAGAAGTTAAATATTTTCCTGAAATACATCCTGGTACCTACATACTTTATGTTTGCACTTAAACAAAATTTCCAAGTTTTTTATTCTAGGAGCTACAGATGCCCGACGCACTATTGCCGGACCCTGTATAGTTTTCACCAAAAGTTTACCACAAATTATTATTTTTCATATTTGAGTTATGGACAAAAAAAGTTTATGCAAAATCAATTTTGACATAAGCAATGTGACAGCTGTTATGCCTGTCAGTTTACTGGTAAATTGTCTTTTACATTGAAAATGCTTCTGCTACATAACCATGACAGTTGCCACATGTCAAAATACTTCTCTGTTAATGATCATGCTGAATTGTTTCAGCATTATTTTTTTTCAATAACACAATATTAAAAAATTCCATTGTTTCCAAAATGTTTGACAGGCACTGTACAATATAATTGTCATTTTATATCTTTTAATACAATAGTGTCACTTTATTTTGTCCCAATTATAACTGGCTATAACTTTTGTTATGTTTATGTTTAAGAATAGAACGTTCATTAAAAAATATAGGGTTTGTAGTCAAGTTATTATTAAGTTTAACCAAAAATGATTGATCCCATTATGATCAAATGGGCTTTGATTAATGATGGATAAGCAATCCATAGGATATAACATTAGAATTTTTTAAACTATCAAAGCCATAGCCCACTTACTTTTTTATTTTGAATTAAAACAACTTGATCATACAATATTTAAATTTAAATTTTACTACGCCCATCACTGTGGTTCTTGAAAAATGACAATAACCTGTAACTCCGAGTTATTTAAAATTAAAAACCTTGTTAAATGTTATAAAAAGAATAAGCTCAAGCTAAGATATCATTTCAAACCTAGTCTGATGGTTTTTTTTTATTTTTCACATGAAATTAATAGCTTTAAAATAAAATAGACATAAAAATAGATAAAAGTAATATTTACAAATTTCTTTACATTCTACTTTGATCTTTGATGATCAAAATAGCTGGAAATTGGTATTAATTCTTTTAACATATTTTATTTCTATTACTGTTGGTTAATATAAAATCTGACAGTAGAAACAGATATAAATTTACTGAATTAATTTATAATTAAGTTCTAAAATAATGTAAAATAATTATCACAAGATATGCAGTAAATAATTTCAGTTTGTCAGTACTTTACTTACTATTTAAATTCTTTTGCAATACTCCTGTGTAGCTTATTACAGAAATCCTCAACAGATGTATGATCAGAGTGCAATACAATTGGTGAATTGTAATCTGGCAATTGTCCTTTAGGCTTTGTATATCTAAAAATGAGAATTATTGTACTAATCCCCATAATTTAAAGTAACTTTAATAGCTAACTGCTAGCTGGAAATCTACACATTAAGTTCTGAAGAACATAATATTATAAAAAATCTTACATTCGTACTAGTTTTAGATATTCCCACATTTTTTCTAATAAATCATCAAAGTTCCATCGATGATGGGCAGATATAGGTACACAATGAGGTATTTTATATATTACATCTAATTCTTCAATACTAATTTGATCTGTAATGTTCAATATTAATATTTGTTACAAATATAATTCCAAACTCACAAAAACTCACCTATTTTATTTAAAATATAAATACACGGTACATAAATTCTATTTCCTTCTATTACATCAATTAAATCATCACTCGTAGCATCATACTTCAAAGTAACATCAGCATTGTGAATTTTATATTCAGAAAGAATAGTTTTTACAGTATCTGCATCTAATTCAGATTGTTGTACCTAGAATATTTTAAATATAATATAACAATACGCTTAAATAATTTAACACTAACCATGCAATTTAAGTTAATTCCACCTTTATCTTTCTTTTTGAAATATATATTTGGAGGTTGTTTATTTAACCGAAGACCAAAACCTTCCAATTCATGTTCAATTAATTTTTTGTGAACTAAAGGCTTCAAGACGTCTAAACATAAGAAAATAAGACTGCAAGTTCTTGCTACTGCGATTACTTGTCGACCTCTACCTTTGCCATCTTTTGCACCTTCTATAATTCCTGGTAGATCAAGTAACTAAAAAAATAGACTGAGGTGTACATAGATCCTATATCTTTATATATAAAGCTACAAATTGTTAAAATAAATGCTAGTAACGATGTAATATATCTCTATGTACCTGTATTTTAGCACCTTTGTATTTGATACATCCCGGAACAGTCGTAAGTGTTGTAAACTCATATGCAGCTACTTCAGAATAAACGCCAGCTAAATTGCTTAACAACGTTGATTTACCAACTGAAGGAAACCCAACGAAACCCACTCTAGCATCACCAGTCTTAGCAACATCGAAACCTAATAATTACAATGTTTTTTTAACAATATGGTACTCGATTTTATTGATGCCAAAAATTTGTATAATTATACCTTCGCCGGTTCCCCCGCCGCCACCTTTTGGGGTAATTAGTTCTCTTCTTAATTTAGCTAATCTAGCTTTAAGAACACCCAAATGCAATGCTGTAGCTTTGTTTTTCTGGGTCCTGGCCATCTAAAAATATAATTTATAGGTTATACCGACAACATTTCAAAATGCATAATGATACTTACTTCGGACTCAATTGCCGCAATCTTTTCTAAAATCGTACTCATTTTTGTTCTTGTCTAGTTTTGATTCTTACAGAAATTGTTTTAAAGACCTAAAAATTTTCGAATTATTTTCGTCAATCGTCAAACGTGAAAATTGAAAATTGACAAATGTTATGATGACAGTGACAAGTGACAAACCAAGACAGCCAACATAAATAGATATTAAATTTCAACTTCCAGTTTTCAATAATTTTGTAAAAATATTTTCTCTGTTATTTAGCAATATAATATCAGAACTGTACAATGTTTAAATTACATATTAATCAGTTTTATCATGGTTTTAATTAGCATTAAAAAGGAATTTTTAATTAAAAATACATATTTTATCGGTATAGTAGTTGGTATTTCTGTTTTGCTTAGGGCCCATTCACATTTATTATTTTATATTCAAAACAATTTTATTCTGAAGTATTACTAACAAGAGTAAACTTTTAAACATTTTAATAACTGAAACTTTTATATTAATTCTCATTTCATAAACAGGATTTGAAATAACTTTTAATTTTCTTTAAAAAAATATTTAATTCTGTGTTTTTGTAAACATACCCTAAAAAAGTACTTCTTTTTCTCACCAGGTGTTTGATTTTGAAATTTGACAGATTTGACAGAGGCCATAAAAAACCGCCAAAAAGCTATCAGATGTTGGATGTGTATTTATTTTGGAAACTTTGCTTTATTTTTAAGTAAAGTACTACCACTTTTAAAATTCAATTACCTTAAACAGAATTATGAAGACCGATCAAGCAAAAAAGGTCGTCATCAAAGTAGATTCTAATATTCAACAGGTAAGTTAGGGAATAATAGTTTATTCACTAATATAGGTTAAAAGCGTATATCCAATAGGTATTTATTTATTTTACAGGAAAATGTAAAAAACTTACGAAGGACTTTAAAGCCCCTTCAACCCCTTGCTACTGACAAAGAAAATTTGGCTGGAAGATCACTTATACTGAAAAATTCAAAACAATTGCAGTAAGTTAGAGTGCTTATATTTCAAATCTTTAGAAACTTATTAAAAAAAATTAATTACAGAGAAAGTGAATACAAAAAAGAAAAACCTGAGCTAATGCACAAAGCAGTACAAACTGATCCATACATAGCAACTGTCGATGATCTAACTTCAGAGGAAGGTAGCGTTGAATATTGGAAAAGAGTAGCTGAAAAAAGACAAGAATCGCTTGATGTTAGTTTATGTGAAATTGAAAAACTTAAGGACAATATTGAGGCACTACAAGAAGAAAATAAAATTTGTAAAGAAATGCTGGAGGAGTCTAAAAACCTGGTGGAAGTCTTGCAGGTATGAATTTTAATGATTAAATACCTATTAAATACCTAATATTTTTAATTTTTTTTATATCTTTTAGGAAATAATCAACGATGGTGATAATGAAGAAACACCAGATAATAAAGCTGATGATACCGAAGAGACTGAATCTGAAAATCAATTATAGTTTAAGTTATAGAGATAAAATTTTCTAATATCACAAATTGTACCTTCTTTAGTTGTCCTTATACTTAATAGGGATTAAAAATTAAGTTATTTTATGTTTTGAGAAAAAGCTTCTTTTTAGTATTTTATATGATCTTTTCAATAATATTTTTGTTTGATGACATCACCATATAATATCACATTAATTATGTATTTTTCTTCATACAATAAAGTGTTTTAATATAATTTCCAAATTTTCATGTAAAAAATAGGGAATTATTTCCAATGACTTCAATTAGCTTAATAGAGATCTAGTGACAGTTGATATAGACATAATGGCAAGAGTTTTCAATTGTTTTGTGGTGTGAGGTGTTGTGAAGTGAATTCAACAATAAAAATATTAAAATAATGTTTACTAGAAGGTAATTTATTATTATTTTATTTTTTAATTTGTGCTAGATATACTATTTTTTAACTTAATTAGCATGCGTTCTGGAAGACTCGATAAAAGTTTTGAAAGTAGTAATATTCAAGTGAATAACTTAGAGAAGTTGATATGTATTAACCAAATACCTTCAAATATTTACCTCAAGAATGATGAGATAAACCTACAGCAGTTGGAGCAGCAATTAAAGGTATTTTGAAATAGAATTAGCTTCATCGTAAATTTTAGTTTTTTCAGTTATTAATTTTTTATACTTTTTGACAAAATTTGTGATATTACACATAAAAAATGTGATATTATGTCTAGAATTCTTTAAGATATATACTTCCAAAGTTATATTTACAATTATGCAGATTTTGTGGGGAAAATGGGGAAACACCAGAACACCTTATCACTGAGTGCGCCGAGACGACGACCAATCGTGCCATGAACCTTGGTACGTCTGATGTCGAGAATGGAGAGCTGGCCTCTGTGGAGCCGTCTCAGATACTGGCTTTTGTTAAAGCCCTGAGACTGTATGATGATTTATAACTCGTTATAACTCAAGAAAGGGGAACACACAATAGATCTATAAGGTCGCGGTGATTAACTCCCCTCCTAAACATTCTACATTCTATATTTACAATTACAGATTTCCATATGAAATGAAACTTTAATTGTAAAATAGTTTTTAATATATCATTTATCATACTGAACAAAAATTCATTCTGACAATTTGTTGAATTGTGATTTAATTTTAGTTTTGATTTGTAATGAAACAATATCTATTTATAATAAATAGGTATATTTCAATTAACATTTTTTTTTTACAATTTTAACAATTATTTTTATATTTAGGTGCTAACTAGGTCATTTATTTGGCAGAAATTCATGGAAATATTTCTTCAATATAAACCTGCTGAAGACTATCTCGTTACCCTTAAAAGTTCATAAATGTGTTGTAGATGTAATAGTTTATTTCTTTTAATATTTTAGTGATATCTTTTCAGAGAACAAAAAATCAACAAAGTATACAAAAAATCTAACGTTTTTAATTTAAGGTATTGTAATAATTTTTAAAAACAATTTGTTGTTAAATTAAAATTATTGAATTACTAATATCGCTATTAAAAAGTAGGGGTTGATGGTAGAAGGTATTATTGTATGTATTTTTAATGCCAAATAATAAAAAAATAAAAATATATTTTTTCCAAAAAATAAAAATACATTTTTTCCAAAAAATAAAAAAATTGGGGTGGGTCACCCTTGTCACACCGGTTGTCACAGCGGTATAAAAAATAAATAACAATCTATTATCAGACCTACTGAATACACAATAAAGTTTTATCAAAATCGGTCAAGTGGTTTCGGAGAAGTATAGTAACAAAAAATTAAAAAAAAAACTATTAAAAAATACGGGATTGATGGTAGAAGGGTGAAAATATAGGGTGGTATGTATTTTTTTACGCCAAATCGTAAAAAAATAGAAATAAAAAATCTTGTCCAAAAAAAAATAAAAATTGGGGTGGGCCACCCTTATTACTTAGAGGTATAAAAATAGATAACAACCTATTCTCAGACCTACTGAATATACATATCAAATGTCATCAAAATGGGGGTTAATCACCGCAACCTTACAGATCTATTGTGTGTCCCCCTTTCTTGAGTTATAACTGGATCGTACAGTCTCAGATCTTTGACGAAAGCCAGTATCTGAGACGGCTTCACAGACGCTAGTTCTCTATATATATATATATATATATATATATATATATATATATATATATATATATATATATATATATATATATATATATATATATATATATATATATATATATATATATATATATATATATATATATATATATATATATATATATATATGTATGTATAGGTATATCTCCGATATCAGTCGTACTGTGACAAAACTTTCAAGATTTTGTCCATTATCATGGTAGTGTGGCCTTTATATAATTTTTATAATTAAAATAATTTATTGAGCGGTAGGCAGAACTTGGATTAATGAGAGCACCGTCTTTTCCGAGCGTAAATATAGTTTATCGTTTATATATAAAAAAACAAAATATAGCCAGCTAATAATAGAAATTAAGGCATCGCACTTTTATGGTAAGGGTTCTTTCTGAATTAAGTTACTATAAACTATATTGCCACTTACCTTATTACGTCAACATCCGTCAGCATTTCATCAACAACAAGAACCTGTCGAAGACTTCATTGATCCCCTTGTAGATCTGCCGCTTCGGTCTTGGACTTATTCTTTAGACTAAACCACTCGACCGGTTATCACAGTGTTCTTTTAGATAGTTTAATATTTTAGAGAAAAGTTGAGATTCAAAAATAAAATGCCGATTTTTCACAACACCTAACTATATTTAATATAAAGAAAATAAATAAATAAAAAATAAAGAAAAGATTTAACAAGACATTTATAATTAACGAAATATAAACAAAAGGAAAGAAATTTAATCAAAAATAATTAAAGAATGATATTAAAATTCAGAAGTGATAAAGTTAAAAATACAAAATATTCTTCTTATTAGTCTAATCTAAATTATCTAAAATTAGCATTCAATTCAAATCTCTCTTAGAATTTTCGTTGCTAGAAAATTAATATGTCAAAAAAATATTAACTGAACAATTGGATTTAAATTAGAATTTAATAAAAAGAACAATTGTAAAATAATCATTTGTGTGATGATATCTAACTTTTACTAAAGCCTTTAGAACAAACAGAAAGTCTTAAATCGTTAATAAAAAAATATTAAAGAAAATCTAAAACAACAAATTAAAAATCTTTATACATGAAATGTTTAAAATTTCCTAACTTGAGAATTGAATATTTAAGAAAATCTTTATATCGAAAACTTACTAAAATTATTAAAAAAAAAACACTGGATAATATAAGATCTACACGGAGAAAATTCGACCGTCTAATTTAAAAGTCAGTAGGTACCGAACTGATCCAAGAATCTATTTTCCTAAACCTCGAAATATTTAAAATGAGCGGGTAAAAAGAATAGGGAACCACCAAAAGCCGAGCCATTCTCAAATCCTCTCCGGGTTCGCTTCTCAGGAACCGTCTGATTGGTCTGAGAAAACCTCAACTACCCTGTCGTTCCCGGTCTAGTTCACCCTACTTGTCACAGATGTCGTTACTATGACCATTTCTACATTATTTCCAAATTATTACTAATATCCGTGTAAATATTATAATTACCGTAAACACAATTACACATGATTAAATCTAACCCTAACTAAAGTATATTTTAAGGTCTGTCCTTAAAAAAACCAAACAAATCACATTTATAATTTGATTTCATTAGATTTCGCTGTTTTATCTTATATGTTTATTTATTTCACATAATTTTGGATATTTTGGATAAAAAAGGAGGACAGTCCTTAATTTTCAGAATATCATTACGTGAACTTTACTTTAATATTTAAATTAACAATTATACTTGTTTTTATCCAAAATCTGTTTGTATTGGCCCGTGGGAGGTCTATCGTGAGAAGAGTGTCGTTTTAGAGTTTTATTGCTTTGTAGGGGTTTTGCTTATATAATCCCGAAGTTAAAATTTAGGGTTTTACAGCTTTAATGATTGATGCTAGTCGTTTCTAGCTGTTTCAAATCAAGTATTATATTAATTTATGGACGTGGGATTTTAAACCTAACAGAAAAATATTTAGTTTTTCCCAGAGAAACGGGTCCTTCATTCTAAACAGTTTTTACGATCTTCTGAAAAAATACCAATTTAAGGGCGGAAACACATGACAAAGTTTTAACAAGCTTGGTTTGTTGTCTGCTCCAAAATATTCCATTACAGTACCAAAGTAGTTTATGGCGCGAATGGTTGTCGTCTCGGCGCACTCAGTGATGAGGCGTATTTTCATGTTATATTTATTTAAACTTATTTTGTCAAATGTTCAAACTACTCCAGAATTTATACATAATATTTAAGTAGATGCTTATAAAAAATATATTATATTATATACAGGATAGCGCACCTCATTCGCCTCTGTTGATTATACGGGAACGAAAAGATGTAGAAACAAAATATTTTATGTGTATATGTGGGAAGGCAATGTGCATAATTTAAAATTATTTTGAAATGTACAGGGTGTGTCAGAACTAAGATCCATACCAAAGTTATATTTTGTCTTATGGAACACCCAGTATTTTATTTTATTTTTGGATTCTTGGACATAAAATAAGACATTTATTATAAGGATTTAATAAGTCTAAAAGTTTTGGTTTTTGAGATATTTAAAGATATTTAATAAACTGTATTAAAAAATTTGATTGCTTCCTTTAGTGTATGCAAGCAGGGTATCAAAAATTGCTGGTCTATTTTAAATATTTATTTTATATAAAACTTAGTTATTTCAAATGTAACACTATCTATTTTTTTAAATAAATCGAAGCAGATTCAAATGCTCTTTCAAACTATATTTGGGTTTCCTATACCTATCTGGCTCAGATTTTGAATACAAAGCTATTTTTAGATAAAACTGTAATCAAGAGGGCTGTAATGGCAATATTCTAGTGACACTTATAGTAGCTATTTTCAAAATCGACATTAATTTATGGACTTTATTTAAATTTATAACAGGTTATTTTTAATATATTTACCTACAATAATGTTAATAAGTATGTATTTATTATTTTATCCAGAAAATTAAGCAGTATCTGCTGGCGGAAGAAATGGATATATTACTAGTGATTTTACTTTATGAGATTTCCATATAGGAATTTTCTTCAGGAGCGTTCTTTTGAGAAACTACTTTTCCTATTTCGCAGAGCTGATTGGGAAGAAACATACCTATTAGGAAGAAACCTGTCGTTGGAAGTGAAGAAAATGAATTTGCCTTAATTGGTTCTTTTATAAAAAATCCAATACATCTACAAGTCATCGTAATATAAATCAGAGAACTACTTCTTTATTCTTGATAAAATAATAAATACTTACTTATTAAACTATTGTAGGTAAATTAAATAAAAGTAAATTGTTATAAATTTAAATAAAGTCCATAAACTAATGTCGATTTTTAAAATAGCTAATAACTGTCACTAACAAATTGCCATGGCGACGGCTGGTGTCGCCATGGCAATTTGTTGATCTTGGTTACTATTTTATCGAAAAATTGCTTTTTATTCAAAATCTGAGCTAGATAAGTATAGGAAACCCTAATATAGTTTGAAAGAGCATTTGAATCTGCTTCGATTTATTTAAAAAAATACAGGGTGTTGCATTTGAAATAACGAAGTTTTTATATAAAGTAAATTCTTAAAATAGATCAGCAATTTTTTGTACCCCTGTATAAATTTAAGGAAGCAATAACATTTTTCAGAAAAGTTTACTTCTCTACCTTCAAACTCAGCAGAAGAATTAATTCTGAAAAGTAATGCACAGGGTGTTAATAATCTATTAAATATATCGAAAACCAAAGCATTTAAACATATTAAACCCTTATAATAAATGCCTCATTTTATGTTTAAGAATTCAAAAATGAAATAAAATACCGGGTGTGTGTTCCATAAGAAAAAATATAACTTTGGTACGGATCTTAATTCTGACACAACCTGTACATTTGAAAATAATTTTAAATTATGCACATTGCCTCTTTACATATACCCATAAAATATTTTGTTTCTACATCATTTCGTTTTCGTATAATCAACCGAGACGAATGAGGTGCGCCACCCTGCATAATTATTTTTCAAAAATCCCGAAATAATCGGCTAACATTTGATTAATATTTTAGGCTCCAGAAATCAGGAAGTATCAGAAGTTACTTCCTTCACCACAACCACAATCAAGGGCTTTTTCAACATATGCGCGAGATCCTTCATCAATTACACCTAAAACCTATTCGTTAAACGTTAATACCACTCCTCCAACTACATCTAGAACGTATTCCTTATTTACTCGAACTGCTCCATCAACTTCAACTAAAAGTTACCCAGCAAATGTTCAAACTACTCCATCAAGAACAGCGACAAACTATTCATCAAATGCCCAATCAACTTCTTCAAGTGTATTCAAGGCTTCTTCATCGAATACTCCATCTACGTCATCACGTACAGCTACTCCATCCACTTCGTCACGTACAGCTAATGAATCTAAGGCAGCTAGGATAGTTCGAAGGTTTGGGGTAAGTTATATAAGCGTTAATAGTACCGTATGATCAGAGCTGAAAGCTCATAGAAAACTTCAGTCTTTTTGAAGTGAAACTTCTTCACGCGTGCTGGGAGTAAAAATTCAAGGCCGTAACAGACTGTCGAAACTTGGAATGTATTTTGTATTTTGACAACGTTTCCTGCATTATGAAACTCCATCATCAATGGCGAATCGCCCGATTTAAGGTTGATTCTCATTATACCTTCCATATCAGCTCCCTTCCGTTTCTCTTCCGTTTACTTGAAATATTATATCATGTAAATGAATAGGACAATGCACACTATCCGTTCCGTTTCCCTTCCGTTCCATATCCTTTCCTTCCATACATTTTTTTGGCGGACGGACTGAAGCGTATCGGAAACAAGTTCTTACATTTGTACCAGCTCTGTTAACATTTTGCTGATATTTATTTATTCTTTCACCTCTTAATTCTATTACCTTTTATTCTATTACCTTCTATTACCTTTTTCAAAAGATACAAATTTTTAAAATACAACTTTCGTAATGATATAAATTGTACAATAAAAAGTATGGAACTGATACGGAACGGAAGCTTACGTATAGCGTCAATAGAGAACAACGGCATACGGTCGAATCGGCCTACAAACACGTAAACGTTTACGTACGCATGCGCATTTCCTATATTTTCTATTTTTTATACACGTAAAAGATTCTTTACGTCTACGTATACGTGCCAGGAGCGGCCGACTCGACCGTATGCCGTTGTTCTCTAATATAATAAAAAATACAAAACGGATATGGAATGGAAACGGAAGGTAGAGTGAGAATCAACCTTTAATGGGTCTTTGGAGCGTCGTAACTCGGGCTCTATGTCAGCTAGGGGGCTGAAACTCGGAACGTAGATGGAGCTCAAAGAGTCCTATTTTTTCATGATATTTTGACGACGTTGTAGAAGAATGTAGAATGAGTAAGAGGGAGTTAATCACTGCGACCTTAAAGATCTATTGTGTGTGTGTGTGTGTGTGCCCCCCTTCCTTGAGTCATCACACAGTCTATAACCCATCATACCCCATACGGCAGTATGGATATCGTAAAGGCATATCGACCATCGACGCAATCAATCAAGTAGTCACCATTGCAAGAAGTGTAAAGGAAGGGAATTGGAAAAATAAAGGATATTGTGCATTAGTAACTTTAGATGTCAAAAATGCTTTCAATACTGCAAGATGGGGAGAAATTATACAAGCCTTGAATAGAAAAGATTTCCCAGAATATTTGAAAAATATGGTGAATAGCTATCTTACAGAGAGAAAAATATTCTATCTAACGTCTGAAGGAACAAAAACGTATGACATAACAATGGGAGTTCCCCAAGGATCGGTCCTAGGACCCCTCCTATGGAACATATTTTATGACGAGCTTATGGAACTGGAAATGGCTGAAAACACAGATATAGTGGGATTTGCAGATGATATTGCTGTTGTGGCAACGGCAAGTAAAACAGAACAACTGGAGATTGAAGTTAACGATAGTTTAGATAGAATACACCGTTGGCTGAAGATGAAAAATTTGCAACTGGCTGTCCATAAAACAGAGGCTGTACTGATAACGGATAAGCGATCTTTTACGTATCCAAAGATTGTGTTGGATGGGACGGAAATCAAATGGTCCAAAAGCCTCAGGTATCTGGGAGTGCAAATTGATAAAAAGCTGAATTTCAAAGAACACATACATGCAGTAGTGGTAAAGGCTCAGACAACAGTGGCTAAATTAGCAAGAGTAATGCCAAACATCGGAGGTCCAAGGCAGGAGAAAAGGATACTTTTAAATGAAGTGGTCCACGCCAGTATTTTGTACGCCGCTCCAATATGGGCAAAGGCACTGGAGGTTAAAAAAGAAAAACAGAAACTTCTATCAGTTCAGCGACGGAGCGCCTTGAGAGTTGTTTCTGCCTACAGAACTGTAGCGGAGCAAGCGGTATTCGTAATCGCAGGTATACCACCAATAGACCTGGTAGTAAAGGAAAGGGCTTATATATATGATCAGAAAACTACAGGAAGAACAGATAAGGCTGAGATCAAAAATGAAGCGAAGGAGATATTATATCAACTGTGGCAAAGAAGATGGGACGAGGCGTACGATGGAAAATGGACACATATGTTAATCCCGAATATAAGAAGATGGAGTGAACGAAAACACGGACAGGTAGACTATTATCTTTCCCAGATACTTAGCGGTCACGGAGCTTTCGAACATTATTTATATCGTTTAAAAAAGAGCTAGTGCGGCCTGTAAATATTGCAGCAGTGCCATCGACGATGTCAGTCACACCATTTTTGAATGCTCGGCCTGGGAACCAGGTAGATTAAAGATCAAAGGGATTTTTAAGGTACCCTTTAAAAAAGAAAACTTAGTACCATCTATTGTGGAGGACGAAGATATATGGGAGGCTTTCGTGGCGTTTATATCAAAAATTCTACGACAGGAGGAGCTGGATCAACGGAGGGTTGAAGAATGACCAAAGTCTAACGTAGAGAGGGGCATCTGTGCCGAAGTAATGCGTGAGCAGTTCCAGCGCAGTTTGTCTACCAAATAGGGTGGAATTTTTTTAGTCGGTAGGAATCCGGCACACCTCGGTCGCCAGAACAACAGACCAGGCGTCTAAGAAGATTTTTTACCATCCTCAGAAAAAAAAACCCATCATACCCCTGTTGTAGAGGGAACAGGGTATTTCCCATCCTCCTCTGACAACAGTTCTTCCTCCGAGGGTATACACCCTTCCACGGTTGGAGTTTGGCCCTCCGTGCCGCCTTTCACAGTCGAGGAGCTTGCCACCGGCTAAGGAACCCGTGAGGTGGAGGCTGGAGGATCTGTCTCCATTTTCTCCACCTCTTTAACTTGGTCTCTGGATTTGAGGTCAATTCCTATTGTGAGAACCTGACCATTACCCTCCTCTCTCGAGTTGATGACTCACCAACTCGATGTCCTTACAATGAAGTTCTGGCCCTGGATAAGGCTCAGCAGGTGGTGTCTTTCCCCTTGCTCATCGGCAGAAAAACCGTGATGGCCGCCCCTTTAGGGATGTTTTCTCCCTTCACTGCAACCAGTTCCGGCCCCTGCCAATTTCTAAGCTTAGGTGCGATTTCCGCCAACCAATTCGCCGATTCTTGAGATACACAATCTATAAGGATCATGTCCACCCGAAAAAGTGTATCCCCGCAAAACGCAGCTGACCCACATTTTGTAGATCGTTGTGTTGCGATCCGATCGCCACTACGTCGTCCAGTAGTGGCGATCGCCTCTTCTAGAGACGTTTGCTGGTCTATGGTCAGAGCAACCTCTGGGAAATCCTTTTGATAACGTTTCTTGCACGATGAAACTCTATCATCAATGATGAAAAAATCGTTCGATTTAAATGAAATTTGGTATGTCGATAGATTGGACCAAGGCCAACTTGGCCTTGTATGACACGTGCCACTGTGACAGTTAGTTTTGACGTAAGAAACGTCAAAAGTTGATGTCGTCCGGTCGCGACCAAATTTGGTGCACACTCTCCCACCCTGCAAAGTTGGATATGACGTTTCGTTTACATCTTCATCAGGGTCGGACAAGACTCGGCAGACGGATAGGCGGACAGAAGTTTCACTTCAAATATGCGCACACAATTTATATTTTTATTTGTCTTCTTTTAAATATATAAAATTAAAAAAAAAGAATGGCTTTAACATACTGCGTCTATCATCATTTCTATCGATGTGGTAGTGAATGATTAATAACTTTTATTACGATATTGTTTTTAGTTATTATTTTGTCTAGGAAACAGAGGCGGAGAAGACCTTTATTTTAACAGGAACAGTTGAAAGAGTAATAAAATGGGGCAAAATTTTTCAAAATCATTTTTGTTATTTTGAAGTGATCGGTAAGTCTTTTTTCCAAAAGATATAGAGGTAGAGGTACTTAGATATCTTTTATTCTCTTTTTTCTGGATTTAAGCTGCTGTAATATCGTTGACGCCAGGTAAATTTCTTTTGGAGAAGACTATGTTGTTAAGAGACAGAAAAGGACCAATTTTACAAGTTAGTTATTTTTCTACTGCTACCCACATCAACATAGAAGATTTTCATTTAGGACAATTTTTGAGGTAAGACCAATTGAATTTTATGGATTTTTATTATTATTATGTACCGGGTGCGTCTTAAAAGTGGCTCACCTCCTATAACTTTTTTATTTTTTCGTATAAAAAAGGCACTCGCAAAAAGGGATTTGGTATCTTAGAATATGACATAAATTAGGATTGATTGACGTACTCAATTTTTTTCGGCCACTTTCTGTCTCACCGGAAATGACTACAACTTTTGATTTTTAAATGGCACTCTCGGTATTTTTTTTTGCTTTATTCGATAGAAAATTACACTGTGAATAGAAAGAAAAAAATTATATGTCAACTTTTGACATTTTCGCTTAAAACAAAATGGTATTTTAAATTTCAATCTAGAGTGCCATGGCTGTTTTAAAAACACTATTTTTTTCCAAGGAGCCTTGGAAAAATAGATTTGATCGTCTAATGTTTTTATTGTCTTGTCCTGGCCAGTTAAAAAATGCCCAAATCGTATTTTTAATCATATCTCAATTTTTGAAATGGAACGAGGGTGGCTCATTAGCATATTTGGAAAAAACATTTTTTTATGAATGCTTTGCTTCCACACACTTTTATGTATTTTGTGGTAGTTCGAGTGAAATTGTCGTCTTGAATCGCATGTTGCGCAATTTCAAATAAACCATATTCAAAAATGTCAAAAGTTGACATATGATATATCATTTTAATCAGAGTGGCATTTTCTATCGAATAAAGTAACAAAATACCGAGGCTGCCATACAAGAGTTGTAGCCATTTCCGGTAGACCAGGAAGTGACCGAAAACAATTGAATACGTCAATCAATCCTAATTTATGTTATATTCTAACATACCAAATTTCGATTTTTTATCTGAAGATATAAAAAAGTTGTAGGGGGTTAGCCACTTTTGAGACGCATCCAGTATACAGGATGTTCCAATATTCCTGGACATAGAACTACTAATTGGAATCAAAATACCAGCCAAAAATGCTTGCAAATTCAAATTTCTGACTTTATTAAACTAATAATATTGGACTTTTGGTAAAAGATCTGTCTGATAACATCCAATCCAAAAATTTGAATATCTGTTCACTCAGTATTTTACTAAAGCATTATCATGTTAACCTCCAATATCTCAAAACTTCAATTTGGCTCTTAGTTATCTTTAAATAAGCTCAGTCCAGATAAAATTTAAATCATTTATTTGTTCTTATAGAGTTATGGGAAGAATGACCGGAGCAAACATTATGGCTGCCCATACAATAAGAGCGGCTAGCACACCGGAAATAGAGTCACTGCCGCGGATGTGCTACATTTGTGACCACGCTGTCAATTCATTCTGTGGTGAAGTTTTGCCCTTAGTTTAATTTTTAATTATCAGATTTGTTGTGTGTGTGTGTGATTTTTAAATAACTGTTTTGCTAATTGTCAAGTTGTTGTTCTTGAGAAATGGTGTTTGAATGAAATTGTGTTAACTAACAATAATGTGTAATAAAATTCTTATTTTAACATTACAGTTATTGGAATTTTATATTTACAGTTATTGGAAGTATACACGGGAGTACAAAGTATTTCCAAATATATGCTGATAATAAATGTAAATAATTTTTGATCTAAAATAATAAATTTTTATTTAATTGAATTTCATATTTTATTTTACTTATAAATATGCAGTGGCGGCTCTAGGTGTTGGCGACCGCATATTCTATTTTTAATTTTTTATATTGTTTTAAGTTTATTGTTACTGTATTAAAGTTAGGTGTAAAATCAATATTATATTTCAAAACATCTTATAATTATATCTCTTCATAATGCCTGTTTCGCTAACCATCATTTGTTAATGATGCTGACATGGCGCAACCAGTGTAAGAATAAAACGGTTTGGTGCATTGTGATGAACGTGTTTTATTTTGCTTATATAGGCTTGGTGCATTCTCTGCCGGTGCTGCGACCATCGGAGAGTATCGTAAACAACTGGGTATATACAAATTCACGGGTTCAAATAGTGAGTATACGAAAAAGCTAGAGGGGTCATAATTGGGGCTATTTCGGCTATAACGAAATTGTTTTACGCAGGTACATAATTATAATTTTTAATCACTAGTTAATTAAACATAGTATATCATTAATATTGCACATTATATTTAATCCTCTCATAGTATAAGCCTATTTAATTCTTTGATTATGTAATGGGCCCTTTATTTACTCATGTTTCGTAGAATTGCTTGAATCCATTTTGCTTTTGATGCTGCGTTCGGAATTTTTAAAATAAACTGAAATGTACCAAGCCTACACCTATATTTTAACATCTAAAAAATGTAATAATTAAATTTTTGCAGCAATGAATGGGGAATAGGTAATTATACGATAAATATAAGGAATATTTACGTTCTTTATTTATTATTTATATACCTTTACTCAAAAGAAAATAATCTGTATTTGTAAGAACACAGACATAAGGTATACCTGTTATAATGTCGTCAATAATGCTATTTTATAACGACGAGACATGAAAAAAATTATAATTATCATAATTATATTTACAAATTAAATATCATAAAAAAATATTTTTATTATCTGATTTAAAATTTTAAATTAAAAAAAGCTTATAATTTTCGCATAATTCTCTTTAGAGTAAAGTTAGTTAACGAAACAGATTTTAAAAAATATACAATTTGGTGCATTTCTAGCAGAGATAAATACTGCATATTATCTAGTTTTATTATGAAGCGATCTTCAATGAACAAATTGTTATAACAGACACAAAATGCACGCGCAGCGTGTATCTGTTAATCCCTTTATAATAGTTTACTTTGTTTAGATAAAGATTCAAGGGTATTTTACAATAAAGTTATAAAAAAGTAACATTTTATTAGTTTATTAGGCATAATTTGACGGAGATATTTATTTTTAGATATTATTACAAAATTATTTCTGTTAATTGTGATTTAAAAAGACGACAAAAACAAAAACATAAAAAAACATGTACCGTTTGATTGAAAGAATTGGGAAGATACGCAACCTAATGGGTAAATTCGTGACAAGACTGATTTTTTCTCCTTACATCTCAAGTGCTGTACGGTGGAGCCTCTACTCGTTCTGCGGCAACGCATAAAACACTCATTTTCTCTAACTCGGCTAGCGAAGGCATATTGAAGACGGTGTGGAACTGAAAGCGACAGTGTTGTCATATTAAAATGTGTAATATCTGTAATACGTTTGACGAAAATATCTTTGGATGAAAAATCCGCGTTTATGTTTGAAAATCTATTCGTGTTAAACATAGAATAAACAACAAAAATAAAAATTATTTTATAGGTACTGTACTCGAAAAAAGTCGTTTAGATCGCTTGGAAATGACGACTATTGACATTTACCATAATATTTTACATTTGAAATAACAGCGATCTTTATTTCTAAGCCAACGCTGACGCCGTTCTTTGTTTAATCATATGATATTAAATTGTTTAATGTCTCGGTAGTATTCTTTATCCGCTGCGCTGTAAACGACCATCAGCGCGCAGAGCTAAACTAAATCTCGGACAGGTTGACTAGCGGCGAAAGTATTGCCAGCTACATCTCGGACAGATTTGGTGCCACGAAATCGGCCATAAGATTGCGCATCATCTTATTTCTTCAATCAACGTTATTAGCCTTTAGTTCTTGATTAGCAATGTGACAAATAACTTTGCAAGTTCAAGACCGACAAGGTCAACTATATTACCTTCCCTGGTCAAAATTTCTGACTGTTCGTTTCATTGGAAACTCTGATGAACCTACAAGTTTAAATTCCGTATGATCGAATAAAAACGGCGTCAGTGATGGCCATGAAATGACGATCGATGACATTTCCCATATAATTTTGCATATAAAATGAGCGATATAAAGTGATCTTCATTTCATAGCTATCGCTGACGCCGTTTTTATTCGATCATACGGTATATACATAATTATTTCTATTCATTGTCAAGTATTATTAATTTTGGTTTGTTCTATCTGTGTTTACAAGCATACATAGATACACAATGGTTCTATTTAACATGCACGATTACGTTTCATTTTGTTGTCAAAATTTTTATTTCACAATCAAATGAAATAATTTTAACTATAAAAATAGATAGGTATGTAATTCAAAAACAATTATCACGAGTATGATTATTTAGATATCCTGAAATTACAAGTATGTAGGTAGGTGCATAACATCTTCATTGTATACATATTTTACATAAAGATAAATTTAAAGAGGTACATAATTAAATACAAAAAAATTATATGTCACTAAATCTTAAAATACGTTAATTAGTAGTAATGGTACAAAACAGAATTTTATTAAATAATGATTTTTGAATAATGGGATAGAATGTAGAATAAGTAAGAGAGGGGTTAATCACCGCGACCTTAAAGATCTATTGTGTCTCCCTTTCTTGAATTATAGTTCATCAGTCTATAACTCATTATACATGGGGATCTCATGTTGTAGGGAGGACAGGGTATTTCTCATCCTTCTCTGACAACAGATGTTCTTCCTCCGAGGAGTGGACATCTACCTCCTACGAGGATATATACCCTTCCACGGTTGGGGTTTGGCCCTCCGTGTCCTTGACAGTCTGGGAACTTGTATCCGGTTGAGGTACCCAAGAGGTGAAAGCTGGAGGTTCTGTCTCAATTTTTTCCACCTCTTTAACTTGGTCTCTCCTTAGACCTGATACCGGCATTGTCCAGAATCTATAATAGAGGATATATCTCTCTTTCTATATTGCCACCATGGATTTGAAGTCAATTCCTATTGTGAAGATGTGACCGTGGCCCTTCTTCTTCGAGTTGATGACTTAACAATTCGATGTTCTTACATTGGATGTCTGGCAAAGCTGGTGATACGTCCATGCTTGCCTCCCGGTGTTGGACGGCTTTCAATCTTGGCTTTTTCTCTCCTTACCGAAGCAAAAGAGGTGAGTGATTCTTGCTCTCTCTCTTGCCCTTTGGTGGAGACGCACTAGGCTGTTTCTTGGGTCTTTTATTCTCCCCTAGAGGTGGAAATTATAGTTCCTTGGGAGAAACTAGTTTCTTAGTTCTAGTTACTAGAGGAATAGTTCCTTGAACTAGGTCTTTAGTTCGCAATAGCTTCCAACTAACATTGACATCTCCGTTGCTTGCTAATGGATTTAGTTGTCAGTCAGAACTATTCACAGTATGATCTGTATAATTTTTATAAAGTGCGAAATATAACGAGACGTGTAAAAAAAAAGAAACTCAAATTAGAGTTTAAAAAACTATATCACAAAATTTTCCGAAAAATTGCATTTTTCCTCACTTTCAAAAATTCAGAATATTTCCTCACACCAAAAATTCAGAATATTTACTTTGTTTTATAAGATATTTCTTAATTTTATGGACCTAAAGTGAAACATTCCTATAAAATATTCAAGGAACAAATTACAAATCAAAAACAGTATCCACGACAATTTTCTGTGGTAATTACGCCGGCTGTAGCAATAGACATGGCCGAATCCATCGTCGTCACCTTGTAATATATACACACCTTTACTCTCTCCTATTTCGTGGAGTGTTTTCGCTTCTACTTCCTCTGGAGCAATAATTCCTAAGTGGAGCAGTCGGAGGTATCTCCGTATTCCTGCTCCCTACTGAGATCTACTTTCAGCGGGTCGTCTAGCTCGGACTTGGATTTAGGTTTTTGGTGACGTTATCTCCTCTTGGTCCGGGCGGTTAAGCCAAGACCCTACACCCTCCATCCGTAATACATGATCACAGACACTAGTGGGTGCCTGGTATGACGGAGAGGGTAGCACCATAGTCTTGACGCTATTCCCTGGCCACGATACTACAGCCAAAGTTGCGCCGAAGTAATATATGCGTAAGCAGTTCCAGCGCAGTCTGTTAAGCAAATAGGGTGGAAGTTTTTCTAGTCGGTAGGAATCCGGCACACCTCGGTCGCTAGAACAATGAGGAAAATGCATGTTTTTAAATAATGGTTTTAAAAAATAGTTCATATAATTACAAATTGAACAAAAAAAAATTGTTGATATCGGTTAAGAAATGCCTCTAATATAAAACAATTAAATATTGTTAATTTAAATGGTCGGGCAAACGCTCTCTACCGCGCCTTGCCGCTGCGACGTCACCCGCCGTTCTTCTGGTTGAGTGGAGCCAGACGCGTGTTTATTTTACACAGTTTGCTTTTAAACGCTGTTAAATCCGAGTCAAAATTTTAGTTATTTGTGTTAATTAATACATGATTAGTAATTAGTGATATTTATAAATAGTAATGGATGAGCGAAAACAGAAAAAAATGGTCCAAGGCCATGAGAAGAGATGGAAAGAAAAACGTTAAATTATCCGCTATTTTTACGATTTATTGTTAATTGTGAAGATCATTTTGATGTAAATTCATATATTTATGTATATTGTCTTACATAGGTATATGAAATTTGAATGTACAGGGTATTCATTATATTTTGACACCCGCATACAGCCTTAACTGCAAGTTTTAGAA